CCCTCGCCCTCTTCCTTAGCCTCCGTATCCTTCTCCCCTCCCTCTTCCTCTTCCTCGGCCTTCCCGTCCCTCTCCGCAGCCTTCTTCGCCTTCGCCTCCCGCATCCTCTCCCCAATAGCCCACACCGGCATCACCTGCGCCACCATTGCATACTCCCCTCCACTCAAATCCGCCGGCCGCCCCGCGATCTTCGGCCCATACATCTCGCAGAAACTCGACGGCATCTCCATCCCCGCGAAGAATTTCACAAATTCTCTCTTCTGTGCGTCGTCGAGCCCGGAGACGTAATCGATGAGGAGGAGGCGGCACGCGGTGACGATGGGGAGGCGGAATTTGAATTTTTCAGAATCTTGAATGGGGCGGGAGAATTGGAGGCGCGGGGGGAGGGTTGCGGTAATTTCTGTATGCGCGGGTTCAAAATGTTCAGGATGGAAACAGGTAGTAGGAAGCCGTACCAAGAAGGGGAGCAATCATGGACGCGGTCAGCTTTTTCTTATCATCTTTCAGTGCAGCCGCCACATCCTTCAAGATCAAAATGACACGCTCCTTCTCCGCTCTGAACTCATCGTCGATCTCGATGGTGGTTGTCGGCGCATTCAACGCGGAGCAGTTCCATTTGTGCTCTTTCCAGTCTTTTTTCTGGCACCTTGCGCTCTGAGGGGTGTAGAAAGTCGTCCAATTAGCATTCATCAATAAGATTTAGGGCACAGAGTAGTATATGTACGCAGTAGAACCGATTTTTGCACGTCGAGCACCGCATCAAGGTTTTTCTCGCCTCTTGCTCAGGATCCGAGTCGGTGTTGTAGTCCTCGTGTGGACAGAGGCCATGATCGCACATGCTCATGGCTTTTGGTTCAGGTATTGTTGTCATCGTCTCCGGAGCTGCCAAAGACGGAGAAGGCTCAGGGAGCAGGTTGGAAGTAAGTTGGGAAGAAAACGTCCAAAAAAGGAAATAGCGTGATTGCACGTGTTCTCAGCTCTCAATCTTGTCTCTCATCCTCCACATTTTTCCTCACATTGAGGAAGGGACTGGGAGGGACTTGGATTGGGTTTGATCAAAGCCAGCGATTGTGGCGCGAGTGTCACACCGGAGGACTTTGAACGTCAAATTCCTTCTTCATGTTTGGAAGATTCTTCTCAAGACTCAAAGTCTCAACCTCATGATGAAAAGGGCTGGAGACTGGAGCTTAGAACCACCCTCCCCCGTATTCTTTGCACTGAAAGCCCTCAAAGCCTCCTTCGTTCACCTCCATCCATTTTTTGCGTTAAATTCCGCATCTGTGACGTAATTACAGGTCCGCCGCACACATTGCATGATTCCACTGATGCGTACCCGAAAATTCATCTGCTCCTCGACCCCTTCGGGGCGTCATACGAAAAATTGGAACGATACAGAGAAGATTAGCATGGCCCCTGCACAAGGATGACACGCTTTTCCGGAGTGGTAGACCTACGGGTCTCAATATTTATGCTCTTTTTTTCAATCAAAGCCTCTGATTCCAGTGCACAATTCTCGAGCTTCCCAGCACTTGCGCCAGCTAATCTCTTTCATAAAATAGGTCCGGAATGCTGCCAATACTCGTGTACTTGGCACTGTAATGCGCGCGGCACTTTGTTGCGACCTGTAAGGTAGAAGAATCCCTTTCTCTTCTGGAGCGATGCTGACGAGCAACTGATAATAAAATCGGCGCAAGGTAGAAGAGTCCTGTCGACATTCAAAACTCGTGCACCACGAATACCCCAAGTACCCAGTGCCTTGCCTTCTGAATCTCGCCGCCGGCTCCGATTCCATGGTCCGAACTTGGGTAAGAACCCGCAGTCCCCGAATAACTTTTGTGTCATAGAACGACCCCGCATTTCATCTAGTTTGCTGACGTTCAGAGCATGAAATCGATACCCTGGCCGAATTGGACCGTTCTTTAATTTAATTCGTTTCACGGCGCAATAGTCACTTTCAATTGCTTTCCTCCGACACTACCTCGGGAACTCGAAGCGATCGTCTCCACTCCGATTCCACTGGTCTCTTCAGGACAGAAACAGTCGATTTCATATGAGAATTTAACCGCCCCGTCCTGTTATCAAGGTCGAAACATAAAGTAAGTAAGCTGTGTGATTTCAATTTTAGAGCCAAAGACTCATCATCGTTATTATCATAGTTGCATGTGAATTCGAGAGCAGTGACGATTGCTTGAAGTCTGCCAGTGATCAGCGGCGGGACCGGATTGAGTTGAACAGTTGTTGTGCGAAACCTCAGGCTCTTGCTGATTGGAGTTCATCTCAGAAGCGTGCGGAGGGGTTGCAAAAAAACCAAACCAAAAGAGGTCCGTAAATTTGAACCTCTGTGAACACTGCGCAGTCTACTCTCTTTGGAGCACCCAAGCTTTTACTGATCCGCTTTGTTCTATCTAGGTCATAGCGGCATCAGCTCTACACCGGGTGAGTTGTTCAAAACCTTTCGCTAATTGGGGTTTCAACTTAGAGGAAGCGAAGAGGTTGATTCAGATTCGAAAACGAATACGCATTTAAATCTCAATTCTTGCGAGTCTTTGGTGCGATTTGACGTTGAAGATAAGTTATGTTTGAGCTCTCGCATGAGAATCATTCATCTGCTTGGCAGCTGGCAACAAAAGTCGTTCTCCACCATCAATTTCGCGAATCCATCCATGTGAGAGCTCCTAAAACAACAAATTCTTTCCGCAATACACATACAACAGCTTAAATACAGTGCTCACGGCGCCGGACCCTGAACATCGAAAATCCACCCTTTTGCAAACGCGGCCTGAATCCCATCATAAAATACCCTCCCCATCCGCGCGTACGCGGCATCATTCGGGTGCGTTCCATCTACAAGATCTCCCAGCGCAACAACGGCATGCGAGTCGACTAAAACCACGGAGCGCCCCGCATTGACAAAGCCCTGCACGACGCCGGGGAGCGCAGCGTTGTACGCGTTGATGCGGGTGTTCGCAGCCGAGTTCGCGTTCGGTGGGAGCGTTGAGACGACGACGAGCGTGAGCGGGGGCGCGTCCAAGACGTTTTGGATGAGCTGCGTCAGACGGGCCGGGGCGTTGCCGACGTCGACGTTGCCTGTCATGTCGTTGGTGCCGACGAGGAGGGTGACGATGTTGGGCCGTTGGACAGTCATGGCGGCGTTGCCTTTGTCTCGGACCTGGGAGATGATGAACCCGGGGTAGCCCTCGTTGTCGGGGTCGGCCATGTTGCCGCCGCGTTGGGAGCCGACCATGTTGACGGTATTTCCGTCGGCGGCGAGGAGGTTGTAGAGTGTGGCGCGGTAGCCGTTGCCGTCGTTGCTGCCTGTGCCAAAGGTAATCGATGCTGGGTTGATGTTAGCGTTGAGTATGGGTGCGGAGACGACGCGCACCTCCGAGAGGCATGATTCTACATGTCTTGCCGGAGAAGCCAGCTAATGAGCTGGGCAGCAGCGCGAATGCGAGGGTGAGCAAGGCGAATCGCATGACGGATGATGTGGGTGACGACGAAGAAACCGATATCGAGGTCTTTATAGTGGTCGGAGGGCTACGCCGAGTAGGATTCCGAGCGGGTCAGGTCCGTGGTCTCGCATGATGTCAAATGATGTCCGAGGTCAGGCGCAGCGTTCTGCATGTGTGCGTGGGGTTGGCGCATTGGCATCCAGTCGGTTATGACGGATAGCGTTCTTGGATACTTCTCAATCATCGACACTCTGGTCTGGTGCATGGTGGTTACGATGACACCCGATTCAGCGACTCAACGCCGAGTGCCTGATTGGGAAGGTGTTTGCTTGCACTTGTTGCCAACCAACCATCACTCCCGGTGTACCCCTGGCGTCCCTCCTCTGCCCGTCTCAAGTCCCGCCACTCTGGCTGCTTGGACCAAGTGGATGCACATTGCTTGCGAGGCTGAGCTCGCCTTTGGTGCGTCTGCTAGAGGCTTTTCCTCAATATCCCAGTGACACTGACTCAGCCCTCCAAATACACTCGCGCTGCCGCCGCATACCTTCGTCATCCCACGCTGCACGGCCATTGCGACAGCCATCGTCTGTCCGTCCTCCCGCCATTCAAGCTTCACGCCTCCTCAACTGTGCGTGCGGCTCTATCGACGCGACCCTCTCACCACAAAGCCCGCCGTTCTCGTCATTCTCCTCGTCGACTTGCGCCAACTTCGCCTCCCATCAACCGACCGCACAACGCTCTCGAAACAATGTCGCCCGGCCACCACTCGTATCGTCTACTTGTCAACTCGGCAACCTCAATCGACATTGTTACGTTACCGTCTCGAAACAACCCCGTCCCCTCCTTGTGCGAGGCCAAGCCATCCCCGGATCCGTCCGATTCCGTCGATGCCCGCTGTGTAAGTTTCCGACGGGTCGGGCTTCACTGCTCATGACATGTTTACTGGGTAACGCCAATCACACGCCTAGTCTCTGGTACCAGCCTTGGGATACCTTTCCAAGACGGTTGTCCAAACGTATAGAAATCAAATCCCTCGACTTTATGGCGGCTCGCAATCCGTTGATACCGACCTCTCCTTGCGCTTTTCAAGAGCACGGTGAGCTCGATATCCAGATCGACACCGGGCGCTATTCACCCATCTCAGATCCAGACAACTGCCACAACTCCCACAACCCCGATGTCGACGCGTCGCCTCTGCCAACCCCGTCGTCGAAGCACCCCCTCCACCTCTGAGTGCTTGCCGACGCTACTCGCCCGTCGAAGTAAGTTTACGCGCGCCGGTACGACGGACACACTCCCGTCAACATATGGCGCACTAGGAGACAGCCTCGATCCATCACACGACGTCGACGTGATCAACACGAATTTCGTCGTCGTACTTAAGCTTTCGCCATTCTCACTCGCTTCGCGCACAACGACGTTTCACTCGTCCTCTCTTCAAGGCATCCTCTTGTCTAAGTAGCCTTTCCTGTCGGACCGAATCCATTCATCTGTCCACGTCGTCGACCGGTCGCATTGAGTACCTTCCCGCTGCATCTTACCATCCCTGGCCGCCTGGCGAAATGGCATCGCGTCTGACTACGATTCATATAATCATCGTTTTCGAAATCAGGAGATTGCAGGTTCGACCCCTGCGGTGGTCATTGGAAATCTTTTGTTTTTTACGACCCGAACTCATCGCGACTTGACCGCACTTCGCAAATAAAAATACTACCGTAGTACTCATGTTCGAAGCAAAACCGAATTCAAATAAGATCTAAGAAAAATTGCATTCTCTTCGACGCAGACTGCTACTACATATACGAGTATGATTTTCGAATTCGAGAGCCCACGAACTTGAATGAAAGCGACTCCATGATGCAAAGCAACAGCACGCAGCTGGGGCCGCTTCTCAGGTTGACCTTCCTTCTGTCTTCATCTGTTCCAGGCTAAGACACTGATTGCGCGAGGTTGTTTTACTGTCTAATAGCGGAGAAGGTATCGACAAGACCAGTTGTCAGCTTCGAGTTTCATACGAACAACATCGGGATTCGACTGCGTTGCCGGCTCTGCCTGACATTTTTTTTTGGCATTGTACTGGGACTGAGGCTGACTGAGGATTGAATGCCTAGAAATTCGGTCAGAGAAATTGTCAATTTTCGTGCAGGACGTCATACAGATTGACTCACAATTAATTATAGAAAACTGCATATGCGGTGGCCCGAACACAAGCTATCGAAGGAAATGCGACACGATAGGCGTCCTCCGATGAGATTGCTGCATCAGTGATTCGTATCTCCTTGACCTTGCACCTGGATTTAGAGATGAAAGATTTCAGCGTCTCGATGGGTTGGAACCCGAGAGTGTCTTCAGAGACGCGCAAGATTTGGAGATTGGGTACCATCAAGCTCTCGAGAACATCATCCATCTCACCATCGTCATCCAAACTGATGTTCAGGGATTCTAAACGAGGTAGAGAAATCTCTGGACCCAGGTCATCTGGATCGCGGACAACATCGTAGCAATACAGTGTGCAGTGTACCAAGCGGCGAGTCTGTCGCAGGATACGCCTGAAGTCGGGAGTTTTTCTTATGCGTAACGTGAGGGAGGTCAATTGTGCCCATGGCAGATCGACGGTCCCCCCGCCTTGCGAGAAAACCGTCACGCTGCGCAGAAGAGGGGCGGATTCCGAGTGAATGAGAAACGGTGTCGCGGAGTGTGTTCGCGGTATAAACAAGTCCAGAGAGCGAAGCGACGGAAACGGGCCGTCCTGCATCGCCGTGGGGAGGTGATCGAGAACGGATAGTTTCAGGTGTTCCCAACGCGTGCGTGCCGGAAGGAGGACAGAAAGAACTGGAGTCAAGTCCTCTGCATGGATGGAAAGAGGGCAGGAGCCTGACCACTTCACCCACAAGCTCGTTAGGCGGAAGGCTTGCTCCGATTCCAACGATTTTCCTTCGGGAGACACCAAGGTGATAGTCCGCCACAGTTCGGGGGTCCCAATAGCTATATCACGCCACTGGCGGCAGATATGGGTCAGAAAAGTCGGCGAACAGTCGTTGGAGATTAATGGCGGATGAGGGTAGGGTGGAATAGTGTGAACGAATATTTCGGAAACGATCTCGTTGGGCAACGAAAGGACTGGGTATTTGTAGGACTGCAGCCGCTCCCAAATGAGTTGCTGAGCATCTCGCACTGCAGCTAGAGTCCGGGCCATGGCGGCCATCTGCGCTTGAATATCGAGAATCTCAGCTCCCTTTTGCGCGAAAAGAGTGCGGTCTTGCTCCATGTGCGACAACATAATAACAGCAGTCTAGAAACTTCGATGAACAGCACAATGCGGGTCTAGGAAGAGCACAGGTAGGCCCAAGGGTAAGGATGATGCAACAAAGGCTTTGGAGGTGATGGTCAGTGGCAAGAATTTTCAGGTCACGCGTCACTGGATTTCTTGTTCTTGTCAAGTTCTTGTCAGACATTGTGATTGTCAGAATCAGAATCTTGACCACTATCTGTTGACTATCTGCTTGCTTCATATCTTCAGACGAGTCTCTACATTTGGCTGCTTGGAGTTTGCTTGATTAGTATGCTGCCACCGAGTCAGGCTGCATAGGATCACGACGGGCCTAGGCGCCCAGCAACCGTTGTTCTCGTCTTCAAGTTCTTCAAGTTCCCTCAAACTGTCACGATGAAAGTAACTGTTCGATGCCTTGAATGCGGATTCCTCGTAGGGGAAGGGTCTGGGCCTGATACGAATTCGTTTCCGTCCGCCGTCCGAGTTCATACAACATCTGAGGTATGTACTTGAAAAATTGCGTAGCGTGTGCCGGAGTAACCAAGCTCACAGGAATTTAGTACCTCTGGCTATTAAACTCCAATGACTGTCCTCAAGATCTTCAAGATCTGGACGTCTTCGAGTCGGTCATATCCCAGACCGAAAGTTGTCTGACGCGTATCGACACCAGCTCGCTCGATTGCGGGGGCAAACAACCAGACACCCAGAAAGCCTATCTAGCCTGATATCTAGCTCGGAACAAAGCAACCGTCTCCCCGCTCCGTCAACTTCCTCCCGAGATATTATTGGAAATCTTCTCCTGGACTCCGCCCTCAATTCTAAATGTGCGCAGACACGGCAGCCTCAACCTCGCCGAATCTCCCTGGGTCGACGTCCTCTCTCGCGTATGCAGCAGATGGCGCGCAGTCCCGCTTTCATCGCCCTCCCTCTGGTCAGTGATCGCAGTAAACTACGGCGCACTGGGCTACGAAGAGGTCTCTTCTTACCCCGCATCCATGCTGCAAGCCCAGCTGTCCCGCTCCCGTGCTCAGAATCTGAGGCTCCACTTCTACGGCTCCGAGCAATACGCCCCTGGCCCCCAACTCGAGTTCTTCATCCTCCTCACCACCCCCGCCCAATCCATACGTCTAGAGGAAGTCAGCCTCAGCCTCACCTTCAGTCTTCTTCCTCTTCTCATTAACCTGCGAAACGAAACATTCCCCCAGCTGCGCAGACTCTATCTGCACAGGGATGCGGCTCACAGTCGTCAATACCTCATCAGAGCCTTCGAAACCGCTCCAGCTCTGACGGACGTATGCATATTCAACGAGCATCACGACATCCCCGTCCACCTCCCCGTCCGGCAGCTCACGCGATACAGCGTCGACGGGCTGTGGGACATGCACCGATGTATCCTCCAGCACGCCCGCCTCATCCTCGTCGAGGCGCGCGTTGACATCCGGTTCGGTGTTGTCCCTCCGCCTGGCCCGCGCGAGGAGGGGGACGTCATCGAGCTGCCTCCTGCGTACGCCGGCGTTGGAGCAGGTCGCACTGTGTTGTCCGAGAGGCGAGAAGTTCGAGACGTATGCGACGAGCCTGCAGGCGCTCGTCCTGCGATCGGGGTGCCCATTACGACGTCTTTTTGTCACAGGCAATTTCACCACAGAGGATACCCTCGAGATCCTCCATGCTCTGCCTTCGGTGAAAGAGCTCACCGTTATCGTGGATTCGTACAGCGCACGTACCGAGGCGGAGCACCTCCTTATCTGTCTCACGCCGCATCTCGACGATGAGGATGTCAGCGTCAATGGAATTGAGATGAGCAGCAGCTGTACAACCCCTCCGACGCTCGTCGCCGCCGGACGCCCAACCACCATCTCCCTCGGCTGCGGCAACGGCATACACATCTCCGTGCCAGGTGGAACTCCGACGAGTGTGCGTTGCATACGGCGAAGCTGTTTGTCGATTCGGACGTTGGGATAGTGGACGCGCGTTCAGGCCTCCTCTGCATGTCTGACGGGTCCAATGGCGCGGAGAGGAATCAGGATTGATCCAAAGAAGAAGAACAAGCATCCCAACATCAAGGTGCTGCTTGAGCTGTATGCGAGTGGATATGCGCGAGGGGAGGGAGGCGGGGGAGGCGATGGGTGGGTGGTCGTTCGGGTCTTTGTGGACTTAGTGTGCGGTGTGATTCGCATGTTTGACGGCGGATGCGGAGCGTATGGGTAGCGAGCGCTCTTGTGTCATGCCGTAGACGCAGCTTTCTGCCACATTGCTTTCGTGCGGCGGGCGACTGTGTGCTGTCTTGCACCGTCTGCTCGTCTGCTGCTGGCATGTCGATGTGATAATCTTGCGCCACGGCATCTTCTCGTTCGTCGAGCTAGCTGCAGGTCGGACCAAACTCGCACCTCGTCGGTGTCCCACAATCCCTCCGGCTCGTGGGTTCATACTCTGATCCCCGAGAGTCGAAATCATGGAACGCGTGTGACAGTCGGAATATTGTGCGCTCGTCGCATACCGGATGCAGCACCGGCGTGGCTCAAGCTCAAGATTGCGCTAGCCGTGGACGCAGACGACGACTTTAGTACCCTACGTATCGAGGTATTATTTACAATCGGTTGTGAACGCGGCGTATCAATTCACTTTCCTATCCTCCTCCTTTCCCTTCGTGACGACGAGACTTGGCAAAGGCTTCTTGTCGGGAAGCACCATAGCCGCCTTCGCCTTTGGGCTCATCATAACCTCTTTCGAATAATATTCAGCCCACAAATTCCCTGTCATCAAGCCGTCAGACTTGCAGCTCAGAGCGCGGAAGAAGGAATCAGCGTACCGTCTGCGAGATGAGGGTTGGTGAAGAGGAATCGCACGAAACGGTCGTTGAGCGATTCTTCTTCTGCGGATACTTGCTTTTCGCCCTCTTCATCACCGGCGGCAGCTACGAGTGTATACTCGCTCGCCGTATCCGTTGCTGGATTCGTTTCAAGCGACGGCATACGAGCCATTCCGAAGTGGACCATCTGGATCCAGAAGTATGTCATGGTGACATGGAATGTCCGACCGCGCGTTTGCTCGCTATTGGCGATGTACCTTTCCAGGCCGTCGAAAATCATATCCTTGCCTGGAGCCTGAGTGTCAATGAGGCTCGAGATCCCGACTAAACGACTTGCCTTTCTGTCGTCCGTGGATGCTGAGGAGCAGGAACGCTATCAGTATGTGATGATAGTGATCCCACGCGGGTAGCCTGAACGTCTCGAATTTCTTCAAGATTTCCTCGGGCGGAGATTCTTTCTCTGCGCGGAGCAGCCATTCTTTGAGCTTTGTTTCCAGCGCATCCGGCGAGCTGGGATTCGGTATCTCGGCCGCTGGCACGGCCTGAACAGGCTTTCTGCCCCG